AGCAACTGAACACAACAGCCCCTATAGATATACAAAAACAAACAAAGACCCTCAGCAGAGCAGCGCGAGCCACCCCGACGCCTGCTGCAGGCACATGCATGCATGCATGCACTCATGCATGCATGCATGCATGCACTCATGCATGCATGCATGCATGCATGCATGCATGCATGCGTGCATGCAGCATCAAGAAATAGAGAAGAAATAAAAGGGGTAAAGAAGGTGATGGAAAAAGAAGAGGAAGCAGGTGTATGTACAGTGTATATCGACACACAGAACGAGACAAAAACAACAAACAACAAAACATAAAAAAGAAAGAAACACAGAGAAGGCCTGTGCTGCTCTCTCAGCTGCCTATACACCTGAGATGTGTAGGAGCAGAAGATACAGAAGATAAAAAAAAAGAAAAAAAAGAAAATAAATATATAATAAAGACAGCAGAATATAAATGAATAATAAAATACTAGATGAAATATAAATAATTTAAATAAAGAAAAAAAATACAAAAGACAAAAGAAGGTAGTGATCGTGTTCTTTGCTGCTGGGGTGTATGCGCAGCTGTGGTGTATCGACGTCATCTTCGTGGCTCTTATATACAGCATCAATATGCAGAGTTTTTTTATGAATAAAAAAAAATAAATTATATAAATTAGTTTATATAATTTATTTTTTTTTAATTTGTTTTTATTCTGCTGCTCACCAGCTGCCTTTAATATCCTTTATAGTAGCGTGGATGGGTAGGTCCCCCAAGACAGCCGGAAACTGCAAAATGCTGCAGCAGCTGAGCAGCAGCAGCAGCAGCAGCAGACATCGAGGGCCCCGCAGAGGCCCCCAGGGGCCCCCCAGCTGCTTCATCTTTTTCAGCAGCAACGCAGCACAGACCCACGAGCAGCAGTTGCAGCAACACAAAGAGCAGCAGCAACTCACACCCAATGAAGCCAACCAACAACACCAGGGAGCTGCTTGCTGCTGCTTAGCAGCACATCTGTAGAGCAAGGTCGTTGAGACCCCGCGGGATATTTTTAAAAGAAAAAAAAAAAAAAAAAAAAAAA